ACCCCACACCCCCACCACCCCCACCACCACCACCACCACCACCCCCACCACCACCACCACCGACCACCCCCACCCCCACCCCCCATCCCCAGGACGCGGCGCCCGTCCAGCGGTCGAGCTCGGTGCAGAAGAAGATCGCGGCGCGCCAGGCTGAGAAGATCATCGACCCCAACATCAACTCCCAGTTCGACACGGGCCGTCTCCTCGCCTGCATCTCCTCGCGGCCGGGCCAGTGCGGCCGGTGCGATGGCTACATCCTCGAGGGCAAGGAGCTCGAGTTCTATGTCAAGAAGATGGCGCGCAAGAAGAAGTAGACAGGAGCCGCTGCGACTTCCGCCGCAGCGCGCCCATCTCGTGGTCGATGTGAGCTAGTCCGTGAGCGGCCCGCGTTTTGTTTGCGGAACTCCGTCTTATGGCCCGTCTTAAGCCGCCACCCAGGGAACCCTTCCCTCGCTTGGGCGGGCTTTTTCTTTGCGGATTTAACATTCTTTTTTCAACCCCATGTCGGCCATGTCGGCCGGCCGTGGGTGCGCGTACGCGGTTGCGCTTTGCTGCTGCGCTATCGCCTCGGCCGACCCTGCGAGACCGCGTCCGCTCCTGCTTGCCTCTGCGCGGCGTCGCGGCAGTGGCCGGACCGCCGACGGGGAGTCGGCGAGGGAGGCCGAGCGGGTGGCAGCGGCGGCAAGCGACAAGCGGGCGTTACAGGCGCGTGAGCGGCAGCGGGCGCTCGCCGCGCGCGCGGCCGAGGCCGCGGCGCTGCAGAAGTTGCGGACTGCGACGCGCGTGGTGTCCGAGGCGGCGCGCAGCGCTGCCGACGCGGCGGCTGCCGCGGACAGCGCGAGACAACAGCTCCGTGTGGCGCGGCGCAGGGTGACTGACGCTCGGCACGAGCTAGAGACGCAGCGCGAGCGCGCGGCCTCGCAGCAGCGCAGCGCCAAGCACGGCGCACGGCTCGCGCGCTACGAGCGGCGGCTACGCCGTCACCGGCTGCGGACCCTTAGCCTGCTGCTTGGCTTCACTTTCATGAACGGCCTCGCCCGCCGCTCGCTCAGCAGTGCCGGCCCCTCGCTGGTCGCGGACGGGCTGCTGACGGAGAAGCGCGCCGATGAGATCTTCATGATCGGATTCGAGGCACCCCCCCCCCCGC